GACAATCAAAAGATCTGAGACCAGTCTCTGGAGACAATCAAAAGATCTGAGACCAGTCTCTGGAGACAATCAAAAGATCTGAGACCAGTCTCTGGAGACAATCAAAAGATCTGAGACCAGTCTCTGAAGACAATCAAAAGATCTGAGACCAGTCTCTGGAGACAATCAGAAAATCTGTGACCAGTCTCTGGAGACAATCAGAAGATCTGTGACCAGTCTCTAGAGACAATCAGAAAATCTGTGACGAGTCTCTGGAGACAATCAGAAAATCTGTGACCAGTCTCTGGAGACAATCAAAAGATCTGAGACCAGTCTCTGAAGACAATCAAAAGATCTGAGACCAGTCTCTGGAGACAATCAGAAGATCTGAGACCAGTCTCTGGAGACAATCAGAAAATCTGTGACCAGTCTCTGGAGACAATCAGAAGATCTGAGACCAGTCTCTGGAGACAATCAGAAAATCTGTGACCAGTCTCTGGAGACAATCAAAAGATCTCAGACCAGTCTCTGGAGACAATCAGAAAATCTGTGACGAGTCTCTGGAGACAATCAGAAAATCTGTGACGAGTCTCTGGAGACAATCAGAAAATCTGTGACCAGTCTCTAGAGACAATCAGAAGATCTGAGACCACTCTCCGGAGACAATCAGAAGATCTGTGACCAGTCTCTGGAGACAATCAAAAGATCTGAGACCAGTCTCTGGAGACAATCAGAAAATCTGTGACCAGTCTCTGGAGACAATCAAAAGATCTGAGACCAGTCTCTGGAGACAATCAGAAAATCTGTGACCAGTCTCTGAAGACAATCAGAAGATCTGAGACCAGTCTCTGGAGACAATCAGAAAATCTGTGACCAGTCTCTAAGGACAATCAGAAGATCTGAGACCAATCTCTGGAGACAATCAGAAAATCTGTGACCAGTCTCTGAAGACAATCAGAAGATCTGTGACCACTCTCCAGAGACAGTCAGAAGACACCTTTTATAGCAGTGCAATGATTAAACAGCATGAAGAACCCGAAGCACATCACAAATATTACATTCACAATTAACCTGCTGTCAGTGTTCTCCCCAGGGGCTTTTTGACTAATGTACTTATGTGTATATTGGAAATAGGATCTTCTTTCTGATGATTGATGATGTAATTACAGCGACATGTTGTAGATAATTGTCTGAGATATTCTGTAATCTTCCTTGAGCATACTGAGCTGCTAGTTGTGTCACATCCTGACTTAGTACCTAGTGGGATTTGGAGACTGTGACAACTACCTTGGCTCTGTGCCTTAGATGGGACCACTGGCTCAACTCTGTGCCTTAGATGGGACACTGGCTCTGCTCTGTGTCTTAGATGGGATAATTGGCTGGGCTCTGCGCCTTAGATGGGACCACTGACTGGGCTCTGTGCCTTAGATTGGGTCACTGACTGGGCTCTGTGCCTTAGATGGGACCGCTGGCTCGGATCTGTGCCTTAGATGGGACCGCTGGCTCAGATCTGTGCCTTACATGAGACCATTTGCTCAGCTCTATGCCTTAGATGGGACCACTGGCTCAGCTCTGTGCCTTAGATGGGACCACTGGCTTGGCTCTGTGCCTTAGTAATTGTTAGATGTCCGTGTGGGTCAGGTGGACCAGATATTTATTTGACTTTGTGGGTCAGGTGGACCAGATATTTGACTTTATGGGTCAAGCGGACCAGAAATTTGACTTTATGGGTCAAGTGGACCAGATATTTGACTTTATGGGTCAAGCGGACCAGATATTTGACTTTATGGGTCAAGTGGACCAGATATTTGACTATATGGGTCAAGTGGACCAGATATTTGACTTTATGGGTCAAGTGGATCAGATATTTGACTGTATGGGTCAAGTGGACCAGATATTTGACTGTATGGGTCAAGTGGACCAGATATTTAACACTGTGGGGTGTAGTTTTTATTACATATCTACAAATGTACCTAAATAACTCTTGAACCTGGATTCCTGCCCTAGTTTTGTACAGTTGCTGAGCTATGGGGAACTTTCCTGTCAAGTGGTAAAGCCAGTTGAGATGACCCTCCCCTTTATAAACTTTTAGCAAGTTAACTGTTTGTTTTCTGTCTAGCTGCTGTGTGGTTGTTTATGGTGTGGCTGGAAAAGCTAGATGTTTGTTTTCTGTCTAGTTGCTGTGTGGTTGTTTATGGTGTGGCTGGAAAAGCTGGATGTTTTATATAAGAACAAATGAATGGAACCCTATGTTATTATTTTTACAGATGTAAGAGTTGGCTGTGCAATCTGTCTAACATTCTGCCACCTTCCACCACCTTCCACCCCCCCCCCCCCCTCTTTTTTATCCTTTTTTTTAAATATTTGTCTCATTTTATATTAATTGCATTCATTTATCTTTCATTAAGTCACTCTTAATATATTAATTACAATTTATGGAAAATGGGAGAAAGTCATAACAAAAGTAATTAAGTAACAAATGAATGCTAGTTATTATGTTAAGTGTAATACAGCTTAAGAAATGAATACTGTAGATAATATAATGGGGGAAAAAGCTCTGTATGATAAGTAGGTAAGTGGAGACTGAAATAGGTCAATAGTGAGATGATAGAATTTTGTGAGTTAAGTGATTGGGGGGTGGGGGGGGGAGGCTGTGGGTGCAGGGGGTAAACAATTGAGTGAGATAATCAGAGGATTGATTGAAAAAAAAAATGGATATATAAAGGAAGTGTCTATATCATAATGCCTTTGAAGTTTTACTTCTGCTCCCTTTGGCACAACACATCAGATTTCAACACAACAAACCCTGAATCTGTCACCCTTTAGGACATGGTTGCCTCACCATCTCTCCCCCCCCCCCTCCCATCCCCCAACCAAACACACCCACAGGGCTGTAAAGTACAGATTTTCCCAACCTGTTAAAGCATATTATATATAATAAATAAACATACAGTGTTTTGCTGGGTACTTGTAGAAAGAAGGACACACTAGACAACATCAGAATTCAAAGCTATAGTGCCAAGCTGGGAATCGAACTAGTCACCTTAAAATGGCAGATGTGCCTTGCTGTGGAAGCTAGTGAACTACTAAGATAATTACTAGCTAGACCATTTGGAGATGACAGGTTCAATTCTTGGCGTGGCACCTATAGCTTTAGTTTTTTATGTTGTCTCTTGTGTCTTATTTTTCGACTTCTTTCTATTGTATGAATGCAAATCAGTACATCATCTGTTTGTTATAAATAATGTTTCTACAGCCTCAAGGGCATACTGTTAAAACGTACCAGTCCAGTATTAAGATTTAAACAGTAGTTCTGAAATAAAACAAAACTGATTAGCTGAACAAGCAGCGTCAGCAGCAGCAGCTGCATCCAACAAAAGAAATCGATGAATAAATGTACTCTGTATTTTCATTGAGTGTTCAGTGAGTAAGCAAAATAATGGCTGCGTTAGATAAACACAAGCAGTACAGGCAGGTGGTGGAGGCAGGCCTGGTCACTCTCACTCGTGTCTTTGTCTCTACACATGCACCACCCACATGTGGGTTCGTATAAGTTTACTTCCTGTATGTGGATTAATACCTCTGGGAATGACTATAAATAGAATGTGTCAGAGCTATTTGATATCTGTGCTTGTAGTTTATTTTAAATACATTGTTTGTATTACTATAAATGCACCATTTGTATTGATATAAATGCAGTTTGTATTAATATAAATTTATTATTTGAATTTATTACACTGAATACACTAAATTAACACATTTTCAGACTGTATATTAATGTAAACATGTGTCACTTGTAAATTAATACAAATACTTGTGTGAATTACATAAAACCAGTAAATATGAGTTAACATGAACACAGTACGTGAGTGCATGTGTGTGTGTGTGTGTAAATATATGTAATCTGTGGTTAGTTGCATGGGTTAAGTATCATGTTCACATTCCAATAAACCTAGGCAGCAGTGGGGAAATGTCCAGTAATATAAGGAAACAAATAAAACTGGGTATGTACATAAGGCGTGAGTTTTTTTTCCCCTTCTTCTTCTGTGTACGCCCCTTAAAGGACAGTTGGCACATTGTAATGTGGTTTACAGCTAGGCTGTGATATCTGAACCTTTTGACCCGGCGCATGCAATCTCAGCAGGCAGTTGATTAATTATCTTTAACCACATGCTGGATAGGGTGTGGTGTGTCTGTTCTGTTTTTTCTTCAAGATAAGATTTTTTTTTTAAAAACGTTCATGACTTGAGTCAGCATGATTTTAGTTGGCCCAGAACACAATAGGAAATGTGATGTTTTAAAAATGACTTTGTTTGCCAGCCATCATTGTAAGTCAAGTCAGATTAGCATGACTTAAGTCAAAAGCTGTTACAGACTTCACAACGAAGTCTTCATGACAAAGTGGCCAAATCATTTGCCTATTGCTGTGAAGCTTGTGGGTTTGTTTCTGAACGGCCTTATTGGATTTTTCATTGTCTGTATTCAGATAACCTAATGGTTATTCACTGGAGCTGCAGAGTCCGTGCTTTATGTGATGCTCTTTGCAGACAGCCACCTGCGGTTTGGAGAGATGAAGCTATATGGGATGTAAACCAGTGTATGGAAGTCAGTTGTCTCGACATCTTCATCAGCATCATCCTGTTCGGGCCTTTGTACACTACATAGGGCACTCCTGCAACAATAACATGCGGTTATCTTTTGTGCAACTGTTTCAGTGTCATGGATGGAATACAGTCTTGCTGCTTTGTATTCCCTCATCATCCTGGTTTCTCCAGTCCATCCGTTTCCCATTTAAGTACCTGTTTGGTGATTTCTGTTTGCTTCTCGTCATGATCTGCCCAATGTACCATCTTCTGTTTAATATAACTGCTGCTGCCAGTGCGTGTCCAAACATTTTCTCTAATTTCTTCACTTTTCATGAATTTATCCCATTAAATGTTCATTTTTAATTGTCTCACCTTTAACAAACAAGAAAATGCTAAAAATCTGTACAAACGTTTGTTTGTTTGTCTTGTCGACAGCTTCGCCAGAACCAGCTGAGAGAAGAGAGGGAGCGATGCCGCATGCTGCAGGACTCACTTCATGCTCTAGCCACTGAACACCATGAACTAGAAAAATCCATATCCAGGCGTCCGTCATTTATTTCCTCCATGGATGAAGAGTTCTTTGATTGTGATGATGATGATTATGGTCAGTACTGGTTGGCTGTAAATACAGTTTTATGATAGAATCATGAATGTAGAGTCTTTGCCAGAAAACTAAATTTCAGCAAGTAAAGAGGTGAAGAAAAGATGCTGGCCATGGATAGGACACACATTGAGGTGACCTGAGAACAATGTAACTAGAAGGGATCTGAAGGCTGTGGGGGTTATCATCATTTGGTAAATCAGTATTTGGTTAGTGAGTGCCATTTTTAGTGAGATTTTGGGTTATTGTTGCAGGAGCTGTGGAGTTTGTACTTGAGGTTGTGCTCTTAACATGGGGCTAGCCATTCTGTGTGTGGGGAGACTGAGACACTTGCGAATAAAAACCCAGTTGGATGAAATTGATCCTCTCAACTTTAAACCTTTAAACTCTCTCTGGTTCTTGGTCACATTTTTTTTTTCTCCCAATTTTCTCAATTGCTTTATTTTTTATGTTTCTTTTTTTTTAAATTGTATGGTACACTTTCATATTTCTCTTTGTAAATTATCATTGTTGATGTTCTTCTTGAAAGCCAGCCATCTTTACAGTTTTGTACCACATCTTTATCTTTACTGTCATTAGTATTTGTTTCTTGTCACCTATGATAACTTTTTACATATTTTGTTTTCTTATATATCAAATCCACCTTTAATACATCCCACTTTTTAGACCTAATTTTGTTTTAGCTTTTGGAATCTATTTTTTGTTCTTTCATACACTTTCTTTTCTACGTCAGTCAATCCTAGCAGGGCGTACAAGTGGACATACATGACAATCTTCCTTATGCCTGCAGAATTGTACAATATACTTCCTATGCAAGTTCTGGAATCCTATTGTGCTGAGAAACAAAAATACACCATCTTACCCCCCCCCCCCCCCTCACCCCATCAAGCATGTCATAAGAGACGACTAATTAAGGGTCTTTCCTTTGAAGTAGGACTGAGAGGCGAGGAACTAACATTCTGCATACAAATAAGTAAGATCTGTAAAATGGCTGTGCACACAAAACCGAAGCTGGAATAAGATCAATGTCCAGAAGTGAACGAACAACCAGAACTTTCTGCTAGAGTTTACAGATGGTTAGTGCTAAGAATAAGTGAGAGATATAGACTTTTTTTTTTAACATCAGCAACAGAAGAAGACAGCATTCCAGTGATACTAACTGGGCTATGTTTGGTTTGTCTACAGGTCTGCCAACCGAAGAAGATTTTTCAGTCACACAGACACAAGGGATGGTGCCTGATGGAGCCAACCACGTCAACTGCACACCTGTTCCCAGCTATGGCAGGTCAGTTTGTCTCTGGGATAGGTTTTAGTTAGGTTACTTTATGGATATGCCATTTGATAGTAAGTTGGTTGGCACATTTCCATCTTTCCAGACAATAGAATATACTGTGAGGCATGAAAATCACATCCATGGTTCCCCGTGTGGGTTCCGGGGCCCCATTGTGGGGGAAAACAAAAATAGACCCACAGCCTGCCCGAAAGCATGTCATAAGAGTCAACTAATTGGGACCATCCTTCCAAGTCGGAGTACACCTGCTTGAAAAGCATGGAACCAACAGTCTGCATGCAAATGAGTTACACCTGTTATATTGATGATACAAATATCAGCCAGGGATGAAGATCCTCGTCTCCATAACACATAACCTGAATTTTCTTGTAGAGACCATTGTTGCCAAAGCATCTTGATCCCTCGCTCGACCTGCCTTGTTTACTCCAAAGAAAAGTAACACCAGTACGTTTGCAACAAAGCATGCTGCAGAAGCCACTGGATCAGGAGAACAGAGCTCTATCTGTCTGTCTGTTGGAGCTTCCCTTCTATCATATCACTCAGTGGCTTTTCCTCTTCGTAGGATCAGTCTAGAATCCTCCCCAATGCATTCCTTCACCCAGATGTCGTTTGTTAATGTCTCAGCAATTGCATGGAAGCATTTAGGAAAAAGTGGACTTAATCTGCCATGAAATATGCACAAAGAGGTCAGATGTTGCAATACGACAGTTGCATTTTCTTGAGATGGGTTGGATGGGGGGGAATAAATCTGTTAAGTCTGCAAGAGACAGGTCAGATTATGGAATAAGTAAATTTATTCTGCTTAAGACTAAGTAAATAAATTCTGCATAAGACTAAGTAAATAAATTCTGCATAAGACTAAGTAAATAAATTCTGCATAAGACTAAGTAAATAAATTCTGCATAAGACTAAGTAAATAAATTCTGCTTAAGACTAAGTAAATAAATCCTGCATAAGACTAAGTAAATAAATCCTGCATAAGACTAAGTAAATAAATCCTGCATAAGACTAAGTAAATAAAATCTGCATAAGACTAAGTAAATAAATCCTGCATAAGACTAAGTAAATAAATCCTGCATAAGACTAAGTAAATAAATTCTGCTTAAGAATAAGTAAATAAATCCTGCATAAGACTAAGTAAATAAATTCTGCTTAAGACTAAGTAAATAAATTCTGCATAAGACTAAGTAAATAAGTTCTGCATAAGACTAAGTAAATAAATTCTGCATAAGACTAAGTAAATAAATTCTGCATAAGACTAAGTAAATAAATTCTGCATAAGACTAAGTAAATAAATTCTGCATAAGACTAAGTAAATAAATTCTGCTTAAGACTAAGTAAATCCTGCATAAGACTAAGTAAATAAATCCTGCATAAGACTAAGTAAATAAATTCTGCATAAGACTAAGTAAATAAATTCTGCTTAAGACTAAGTAAATAAATCCTGCATAAGACTAAGTAAATAAATCCTGCATAAGACTAAGTAAATAAATCCTGCATAAGACTAAGTAAATAAATTCTGCTTAAGACTAAGTAAATAAATTCTGCATAAGACTAAGTAAATAAATTCTGCATAAGACTAAGTAAATAAATTCTGCATAAGACTAAGTAAATAAGTTCTGCTTAAGACTAAGTAAATAAATTCTGCATAAGACTAAGTAAATAAATTCTGCATAAGACTAAGTAAATAAATTCTGCATAAGACTAAGTAAATAAGTTCTGCATAAGACTAAGTAAATAAATTCTGCATAAGACTAAGTAAATAAATTCTGCATAAGACTAAGTAAATAAATTCTGCATAAGACTAAGTAAATAAATTCTGCATAAGACTAAGTAAATAAATTCTGCTTAAGACTAAGTAAATCCTGCATAAGACTAAGTAAATAAATCCTGCATAAGACTAAGTAAATAAATTCTGCATAAGACTAAGTAAATAAATTCTGCTTAAGACTAAGTAAATAAATCCTGCATAAGACTAAGTAAATAAATCCTGCATAAGACTAAGTAAATAAATCCTGCATAAGACTAAGTAAATAAATTCTGCTTAAGACTAAGTAAATAAATTCTGCATAAGACTAAGTAAATAAATTCTGCATAAGACTAAGTAAATAAATTCTGCATAAGACTAAGTAAATAAGTTCTGCATAAGACAAGTAAATAAATTCTGCATAAGACTAAGTAAATAAATTCTGCATAAGACTAAGTAAATAAGTTCTGCATAAGACTAAGTAAATAAATTCTGCATAAGACTAAGTAAATAAATTCTGCATAAGACTAAGTAAATAAATCCTGCATAAGACTAAGTAAATAGATTCTGCTTAAGACTAAGTAAATAAATTCTGCTTAAGACTAAGTAAATAAATTCTGCTTAAGACTAAGTAAATAAATTCTGAATAAGACTAAGTAAATAAATTCTGAATAAGACTAAGTAAATAAATTCTGCATAAGACTAAGTAAATAAATTCTGCATAAGACTAAGTAAATAAATTCTGCTTAAGAATAAGTAAATAAATTCTGCTTAAGACTAAGTAAATAAACTCTGCTTAAAACTAAGTAAATAAATTCTGCTTAAGACTAAGTAAATAAATTCTGCTTAAGACTAAGTAAATAAATTCTGCTTAAGACTAAGTAAATAAATTCTGCTTAAAACTAAGTAAATAAATTCTGCTTAAGACTAAGTAAATAAATTCTGCATAAGACTAAGTAAATAAATTCTGCATAAGACTAAGTAAATAAATTCTGCATAAGACTAAGTAAATAGATTCTGCATAAGACTAAGTAAATAGATTCTGCATAAGACTAAGTAAATAAATTCTGCATAAGACTAAGTAAATAAGTTCTGCATAAGACTAAGTAAATAAATTCTGCATAAGACTAAGTAAATAAATTCTGCATAAGACTAAGTAAATAAATCCTGCATAAGACTAAGTAAATAGATTCTGCTTAAGACTAAGTAAATAAATTCTGCTTAAGACTAAGTAAATAAATTCTGCTTAAGACTAAGTAAATAAATTCTGCTTAAAACTAAGTAAATAAATTCTGCTTAAGACTAAGTAAATAAATTCTGCTTAAGACTAAGTAAATAAATTCTGCTTAAGACTAAGTAAATAAATTCTGCTTAAAACTAAGTAAATAAATTCTGCTTAAGACTAAGTAAATAAATTCTGCATAAGACTAAGTAAATAAATTCTGCATAAGACTAAGTAAATAAATTCTGCATAAGACTAAGTAAATAGATTCTGCATAAGACTAAGTAAATAGATTCTGCATAAGACTGAGTAAATAAATTCTGCATAAGACTAAGTAAATTCCATGTGCGACTAAGGTCAGATGTGTGAGTAAATAAATTAAAGGAATCGACACGAATGACTGTTACATAAATAAGATTTATTGAATATTTCCCCTAAACTTTACTCCTATCCTGCTAGCATTACATTCAGATTTTATCTGTACAAAGCACATATTGTACACGTCTGTGCTGCATATTCTACCCGTATGCTGCCTGTGGTATGTACCTCTGTCTGTTATATTGAACTAATGGCCATATGTTTGCCAACAGGACAAGCCTTCCAGTGCCCATGTTCTCACGGTCCGACTTCAGCTTCTGGAGTATTCTCAAACAGTGTATAGGGAAGGTGAGTACACTGGTTAAGGTTCACTTGAATTTTGCGACAGGGAAAATGGGTACAGTGGTTAACTTACAATTAATTTTCACAAGGAAATCCCTGTGTTTGTTCCGGGGTCCCATGTGGGGCAGACAAGAATAGACCCACCACTTTCCCAACAGGCATGTCACAAGAGTCGACTAATTAGGGGAACTTCCTTCAAAGTCAGAGTGCACCTGCCTGAGAGGCAAGGAACCAACAGTCTGCATACAAATAAGTCAGATCTGCAAAATGGATGTGCATTCAACACTCAGGTTCTAGAAGAAGACTAAAATCCAGTGGTGGACGAACAACCAGAACTTTCTGGCAAAGTTTACAGCCAGTGAAGACAAAGAAGACTATAGTCCAGTGGTGGACGAACAACCAGAACTTTCTGGCAAAGTTTACAGCCAGTGAAGACAAAGAAGACTATAGTCCAGTGGTGGACGAACAACCAGAACTTTCTGGCAAAGTTTACAGCCAGTGAAGACAAAGAAGACTATAGTCCAGTGGTGGACAAACAACCAGAACTTTCTGGCAAAGTTTACAGCCAGTGAAGACAAAGAAGACTATAGTCCAGTGGTGGACAAACAACCAGAACTTTCTGGCAAAGTTTACAGCCAGTGAAGACAAAGAAGACTATAGTCCAGTGGTGGACAAACAACCAGAACTTTCTGGCAAAGTTTACAGCCAGTGAAGACAAAGAAGACTATAGTCCAGTGGTGGACAAACAACCAGAACTTTCTGGCAAAGTTTACAGCCAGTGAAGACAAAGAAGACTATAGTCCAGTGGTGGACAAACAACCAGAACTTTCTGGCAAAGTTTACAGCCAGTGAAGACAAAGAAGACTATAGTCCAGTGGTGGACAAACAACCAGAACTTTCTGGCAAAGTTTACAGCCAGTGAAGACAAAGAAGACTATAGTCCAGTGGTGGACAAACAACCAGAACTTTCTGGCAAAGTTTACAGCCAGTGAAGACAAAGAAGACTATAGTCCAGTGGTGGACAAACAACCAGAACTTTCTGGCAAAGTTTACAGCCAGTGAAGACAAAGAAGACTATAGTCCAGTGGTGGACAAACACAACCAGAACTTTCTGGCAAAGTTTACAGCCAGTGAAGACAAAGAAGACTATAGTCCAGTGGTGGACAAACAACCAGAACTTTCTGGCAAAGTTTACAGCCAGTGAAGACAAAGAAGACTATAGTCCAGTGGTGGACAAACAACCAGAACTTTCTGGCAAAGTTTACAGCCAGTGAAGACAAAGAAGACTATAGTCCAGTGGTGGACAAACAACCAGAACTTTCTGGCAAAGTTTACAGCCAGTGAAGACAAAGAAGACTATAGTCCAGTGGTGGACAAACAACCAGAACTTTCTGGCAAAGTTTACAGCCAGTGAAGACAAAGAAGAAGAAGGAAACAGCAGGACATGTGATAGTGAAATTGCTTCCTGCAACTGGGATAGTGAGTACATTAATGTGAGTACATTAATGTGAGTACATTAATGTGAGTACATTAATGTGAGTACATTAATGTGAGTACATTAATGTGAGTACATTAATGTGAGTACATTAATGTGAGTACATTAATGTGAGTACATTAATGTGAGTACATTAATGTGAGTACATTAATGTGAGTACATTAATGTGAGTACATTAATGTGAGTACATTAATGTGAGTACATTAATGTGAGTACATTAATTACTGTATAGCCAACAGCAGGGACAGTGTTTGGTTAGGTTTTTTTTAGCTGTGAAAAATGCAGAAATGCTTGAAATACCCCAAATGAACACAACAAATTTAGAATAATACAAAAGAAATGAGCTTAAGTACCAATAAAGAATATTAGAATGCTTTATCGGGTAGTTGAATATTAGAAATAATTCTACTGAAGATAAGGAAGTATAATGATGTAAATGTAGTTTTGCTTTATGAAGAACTCTTTAGGAATGGTAAATAAAATTGTGTTCAATGATGGAAAAGGTAGGAATGTTAGAATTTTGTTTAGTGATTGAAAAGGTAGGAATGTTAGAATTTTGTTTAGTGATTGAAAAGGTAGGAATGTTAGAATTTTGTTTAGTGATTGAAAAGGTAGGAATGTTAGAATTGTGTTCAATGATGGAAAAGGTAGGAATGTTAGAATTTTGTTTAGTGATTGAAAAGGTGGGGAATGTTAGAATTTTGTTTAGTGATTGAAAAGGTGGGGAATGTTAGAATTTTGTTTAGTGATTGAAAAGGTAGGAATGTTAGAATTGTGTTCAATGATGGAAAAGGTAGGAATGTTAGAATTTTGTTTAGTGATTGAAAAGGTGGGGAATGTTAGAATTTTGTTTAGTGATTGAAAAGGTGGGGAATGTTAGAATTTTGTTTAGTGATTGAAAAGGTGGGAATGTTATAATTTTGTTTAGTGATTGAAAAGGTGGGAATGTTATAATTGTGTTTACTGATAGAAAATGTAGGTATGTTAGAATTGTGTTCATTTAGGAACAGTTTAGGAAGATTTTTATTGTGTATGTAAGCTGTTTATTCTATTCTTGCAATGAAAATGTTAGATTGTTGTTTTATTGTAAAACATGGGGTCGGGGTGTGTGTTGCAGAAATTAAATTAGTGTAAGATGTTCATATAATCAAATTAGAGTTAACAATTTATCTGGAAGAGAAAATGTATGAAAATTTTATAATTTTTTAAAAATAATTTGGGAATTTTGTTAGATTTTTAAAAGAATGAAAAAGGCTTATAAAAATTTTAACAGAGCATTAACAACTAGACAGAGTTTTCTATTTTCCTTTCAAATGATTTGATTGTTTTCAAATTTGATGAATTGACCAGGAGCTGTCGAAGATAACCATGCCTGTAGTGTTTAATGAACCGTTGAGTTTCATCCAGCGGTTGGCCGAGTACATGGAGTATGCACCCTTGGTGGAGAAGGCTGCCAGATGTGAAAACCCCATAGAGAGGATGGAGGTATGTGTCTCAGGTCTCAGTCTTACCCAGCCACACATCTCTGTAGATTAATGTAGTTATGAAGTATCTGCTCTCACTGTTGATCTCCTTCTTCTTCTCAATTTGCATTTGCACTTAAAATGTGGTTTGGCATGCTCCATCTGTTGTGGTATACAGCTAGGCTGCAATATATGTGCCATTTGGCCCAGCATACATTTTTTAAAAATGTGTACACAGTGAAGCTTAGAGGATATGACTGTATCTTATAATTGTGGCATTCACTTCAATTCAGCTGTTTGGCAGCCGTCCACTTTGCCTTGATTTTGACAACCGTATGAGTGTTGACTGTACAGAAACAGTGGCTAATATAAAAAAAAGGTAGTTACGTATCCAGTTCAGGACATTGCAGAATTAGCCCCCGGCATTTTTTTTTTCTTTTTGCAATTTTACACTCAGTTTTTGCTTTATGAACGGCCAACTTTCAATACCACTATTGAAACCAACACAAGGCAGTCTGCTGTCAAATGGCCGGCAGCTGGGATCCAACCCAGCACATTGGCATTACATAGCATGTTCGCAGTGCCTGAGCCACCGACACTGACAGCGACAAACTACTGAACATATAATTCCAAATAAAATTACAGCCACCAAAAGCTGTGGTTATTGTCATCTTGTTAGAGAAATGTAGCTAACACACACACACACACACACACGCACGCATTGGTTTCATAGAAGGTCTGCTTGACTGGCAGACATTGGTTTCATAGAAGGTCTGCTTGACTGGCAGACATTGGTTTCATAGAAGGTCTGCTTGACTGGAAGACATTGGTTTCATAGAAGGTCTGCTTGACTGGCAGACATTGTTTCTTCTTCGTCTCCATCTTCTTAGCTTTCACTAGTGGTCAACTCCCACAGAAAGTTCTGGTTTGTCCATTTCTAGGCTTTATCCTTTTTTCTCCGCAAAACTTGAGTGGTGTATGCACATCTGTTTTACAGATCTTGTATATTTGAATGCAGACTGTGTGTTCCTTGCCTCTCAGACAGATGCACTCAACTTCCAAGGAAACACCCGTAATTAGTCGCCACCTAAGATCTGTGCTTCTTAGAGAGCAGCGGGTCTGTTCTCCCCCAGCCAGCCTACCTAAAGATAAATGGGGTCCCGGAACCTAGTCAGGGGCAGTCATCTTAACCTTCAAACTAGTAAATGTTTGCCTTTAAACTTGTGCTGTGATATACTTGCTGCTGTATCATTCATTAGCTTCTGCAGCACACTTTGTTCCAAACGTAGTGGTGTTACCTTTCCTTGGCAGGCCGAGAGAGGGATCATGTTGCATGGGCAACACATGGCCTCTAAAATACTGTCCAGACTTCGTGCTATGGTTTTATTAACTTGGGCAGCTCTTGCTAGCCACACTGGCCATTGCCATGCACCCTGATTCCAATGCCTCCTGATAGCACAGTATTACACTGTTGTCTGGAAAGACGGAGAGATGCCAACTAAACATGTCTTCCATCCACAGTTTGTTGCTGCATTTGCTGTTTCTGCTCTCTCCTCCAACTGGGGGCGAATTGGGAAACCATTCAATCCACTCCTGGGGGAGACCTATGAACTTGACAGGTATGCATGTAGATCATTTGGACTTGTTGTTTCTTGGTGTGAAAAAGCTGGCTCGACCCGGCCTAAAATGGGCACCAGCTAATGTGCTGGGAAGTAAAGGTGGCAGGCCTAATGTTGACCGCATCACCCACAGAGTGCTGATTGATCTATACAGTATGAGTCTAGTGCTGCATGCCCGATGTGCCACTTCCCTAGAAGGGGTCCACATCTTTTACAATCTGTGTGAAATGGAATGTCTCTTCTTCTTCTTCTTCTTTTTCTTCTTCTTCTTCTTCTTCTTCTTCTTCTTCTTCTTCTTCTTCTTCTTCTTCTTCTTCTTCTTCTTCTTCTTCTTCTTCTTCTTCTTCTTCTTCTTCTTCTTCTTTTTCTTCTTCTTCTTCTTCCTCCTCCTCCTCACCCTTCCTCCTCCCTCCCTTCCTTCCTCCTTCCTTCCTCCTTCCTACCTTCCTCCTTCCTTCCTCATTCCTACCTCCTTCCTCCCTCCCTCCTTCCTTCCTCCCTCCTTCCTTCCTCCCTCCTTCCTTCCTTCCTCCTTCCTTCCTCCTTCCTTCCTTCCTCCTTCCTTCTCTCCCTCCTTCCTTCCTTCTTCCTTCCTTCCCTCCTTCCTTCCCTCTTCCTTCCTTCCTTCCTTCCTTCCTTCCTTCCTTCCTCTTTCCTTCCTTCTTGCTTCCTTTCTTTCTTCCTTTCTTCTTCCTTCCTTCCTTATTCCTTCCTTCCTTCTTCCTTCCTTCCTTCTTTCCTTCTTCCTTCTCCTCCTCCTCCTCCTACTTCTTCTTCTTTTGCCTGCAGTGGAGTATAGAAGACCCTCAGCCAACTCCCACATGTCTTCCTAATCTTTGCTGTCATGTGCCACTCCTTGATTCTGTGGGTTACAGTGCATGGTCATTCTATCACAAGTTATTTACATTGACTTATAATGTTGTCAGGTTTCTTAATGTGTGTCTGTTTGAAACCAGCTACTTTCCTTGCCTGAGAATAACTGAATCAAAGAATCCAGAATGGATATCACTGCACTCGGACATTCCCACGCAAGCTGTCTCCATTTATCTTCTGGTCAGAGGGAATCAAAACAGTTTACTCTGTGCTGTATTTATATAATGATTGTATTCCTTATTAGACCTTTTTTTGCATTGAAATTTAAAAATAAAAATTCTTTTTCTCAAAGTGACTTTGGGGATGCGATGAAGCAGTAGCTAGCAGGCTTGTCTGTCTGCTCGGTAGTCATTGGTTTCAACCCCCTGGATTGCTACCAAAACTGGACCAGAACTCCACCTTACTTCTACTTGTCTTCCCTATCTCTAGTTTCTTAGGTTAGATTTTCAGAGAGCTATAAGGATGCGTTTCTTTTTGTGAAATTTGGAGACAAGAAAAATTTATTTTTTAAGATCTTACAGGCTGAATTTATTAATTTGTAATATTCTACATTGTTTGATGTTTTCAGGCCAGACTTGGGTTTCCGGTTTATCGGGGAACAAGTGAGTCACCACCCACCAGTCACAGCTTTTTGTGCCGAGGGCAAGTCGTACACATTTCATGGTTCCATACAGCCAAAGTTGAAGTTCTGGGGCAAGTCCGTCGAGATCAGTCCCAAGGGAGTCATAACATTAACATTACACGAGTGAGCACCTTGCCAGATTTTTTATAAATCGATTTCTGTAAAAACATTAATCTTCATTCTGTGTCCCATCATACTATTCATTAAAGAGCAACAGATAAGATGGTTTGGCCATCTAACGAGAATGAGCAGGCACCAGCTGCCCATAGAGAGCCACAGTGAAGTAATATAATAAAAGCACAGCTTAAGGAAAAACACGCAAAAACTGAATGATGGCATCAAAAACAACTCAAAGAAATTAAGATCAATTTATACAGCACCTTAAGAAAGTAGGTCTCTTTAGGTCTCCTACCAGCTAAGTGGAGAAAGAGGAGAAAAATGAGACAAGTTTGTGCAACACTTATCTCGTACATTACCAGTGGCTTCACCATGTGTTTCTTGGTTGCAACCATACATGATAAGCTTGTCTCAACTCCTTGTGTTATTTAACCCCCTGTGCTTTAAACAGTAGTTACTTTAACTCCTGACATCTGTTATTATTTAATCCTACATGTTTCAGCCAGTAGTTACTGTGACAGTTTCAACTCCTGATATCTGATGTAATTATTCAGCCCTGTTAGACTAAGCAATGTATGAGATACTTACCTGGCAGGGAAGTTACCATGATCATTATATCCTTGTCATATCCTTGTGGGATGCCATTTTTTTATTTTATTTTGAAGCCTCAACCTGGCTTTTGCCGGGGCCCTGAATATAGCCAGGCCATAGATATGGCCTAAACGGCTGAAAGGGGTTTTTGGGACCTCACCACAGGTGATCGTCATCAACATGGTGGCACTTTTTGTCACCAGGTGTTTATCTACCTACCTACCAATGTATAATCTGAAGCAGGCCAGTTCAGCTGAGTTTACTCAGAACCAAATGTTTGAACTGAAAATGTTTGAACCTCACCAATCAAAGTTCTGAGTCCAACCATAGTAAGATCCTTGTACAGTACAAGTGCTAATCATGTGCAGACCACTTGCTAGACCTCCTTGGGCTATCTGTTGAATAGTCCTAAAGGAACCACTTTCAAAGCCAGAACAGGTGAAAGATCACCTGCCGAGGACTGAAAGAGATATAGAGGCTGAGAGTAATCTGATGCATGTTGTCATATGTTACAGGTTCGATGAGACGTACACGTGGCAGAATGTGAATTGTGTGATACATAATGTGATAGTTGGATCTTTATGGGTGGAGCACGTAAGTTTTTTTCTGTATTTCCTTTAGTCTTTGATTTATGTCAGTCAGGCATACCAGTGCATAAAGTATGTCTTTGTGTGAGCATGTTGTATATGTTTTTGTGTACACACACGTGTGTCTATGCCTGCACACTATACTTGTTTCTTGGGCACTTGTCTCTTCTTGCCTGTTGATTTTGCCCCTCACTCTGTTCAGTAGAAGATATGAAAGGTAATTAGCCATGATTGTCTGAGGTCAGTTAATTTATCATGTTTGTTCCGGAAATGGTTATTTATCATGTCTAGTAAAAGGTAATTTATCATGATTGTCTAGGGAAAAGTAATTAACCTTGATTGTCGGGTGGAAGGTAATTTACAATGATTGTCTGGGGGTAGGTGATTTACCATGATTGTTTGGGGGTAGGTAATTTACCATGGTTGTCCTGGGGAAAGGTAATTTAATATGATTGTCCAGGGGAAGGTAAATTACTATGATTGTTCAGGGGAAGGCAATTTACCATGATTGTCCAGGGAAAGGTAATTTATCAAGATTTCCAGGGAAAGGTAATTAACCATGTATGCCCAGTGTAGGGTAATTAGCCTTGATTGCCAGGGAAAAGCTGATTTATAGGCATGGGAAAGCTGATGAAAGGACAAAATAATGCTCAACAAAGGAAGAGATTTTTTTGTGCAAGGCTTTTGTGGATACACACGTGCTTTAAATTAGATATTATATGAAATTATAACAAGTTTTATATATGTTTTGTAAAAATATTCAGTATGGAGTGATGGAAATTACGTGCAACAAGAGCAACATTAATGCAGTGATCAACTTTAAACAGAGCGGCTGGTTCGCCAAAGATTTGCATCATGTAGAGGGCTTTATATACAGGGGCAAGTAAGTCTCACCTTTCATTGTACTCATTGAGCAAAAGTGATGAAATCTCTTTCTGTCATAGTTATCTCAGGGAGACTGCTAATGAACTGTTATAGATACTTTATGATGAGTATGGTCTTTCTTTTTTAAAACACCTTTTTTTCTAGAAAAAAAAGAAGCCCTGGTACTAGGTTTAATATCTGGTGACTTCTGTCAAGTGTTCTTCAGCTGAGAAAGCTACTCTTGCTTTTTGTATTCCTTTTTTTTTATATCTCTGTTCCCTAACCTCTGTCTGCATGGCTGTGTTTATCTCTGTTCCCTAACCTCTGTCTGCATGGCTGTGGTTTATCTCTGTTCCCTTACCTCTGTCTACATGGCTGTGGTTTATCTCTGTTCCCTTACCTCTGTCTACATGGCTGTGGTTTATCTCTGTTCCCTTACCTCTGTCTGCATTGCTATGGTTATCTCTGTTCCTTACCTCTGCATGGCTGTGGTTTATCTCTGTTCCCTCACTTATGTCTACATTGCTATGGTTATCTCTGTTTCCTCACTTATGTCTACATTGCTATGGTTATCTCTGTTCCCTCTCCTATGTCTACATTGCTATGGTTATCTCTGTTCTCTCACCTATGTCTACATTGCTATGGTTATCTCTGTTCCCTCACCTCTGTCTACATTGCTATGGTTATCTCTGTTCTCTCACCTATGTCTACATTGCTATGATTATCTCTGTTCCCTCACCTCTGTCTGCATTGCTATGGTTATCTCTGTTCCCTCACCTCTGTCTACATTGCTATGGTTATCTCTGTTCCCTCACCTCTGTCTACATTGCTATGATTATCTCTGTTCCCTCACCTCTGTCTACATTGCTATGGTTATCTCTGTTCTCTCACCTATGTCTACATTGCTATGGTTATCTCTGTTCCCTCACCTCTGTCTACATTGCTATGGTTATCTCTGTTCTCTCACCTATGTCTACATTGCTATGATTATCTCTGTTCCCTCACCTCTGTCTACATTGCTATGGTTATCTCTGTTCCCTCACCTCTGTCTACATTGCTATGGTTATCTCTGTTCCCTCACCTCTGTCTACATTGCTATGATTATCTCTGTTCCCTCACCTCTGTCTACATTGCTATGGTTATCTCTGTTCTCTCACCTATGTCTACATTGCTATGGTTATCTCTGTTCTCTCACCTATGTCTACATTGCTATGGTTATATCTTTTCCCTCACCTATGTCTACATTGCTATGGTTATATCTTTTCCCTCACCTATGTCTACATTGCTATGGTTATCTCTGTCCCCTCACCTATGTCTACATTGCTATGATTATCTCTGTTCCCTCACCTATGTCTACATTGCTATGGTTATCTCTGTTCCCTCACCTATGTCTACATTGCTATGGTTATATCTATTCTCTCACCTATGTCTGCATTGCTATGGTTATATCTTTTCCCTCACCTATGTCTACATTGCTATGGTTATCTCTGTCCCCTCACCTATGTCTACATTGCTATGATTATCTCTGTTCCCTCACCTATATCTACATTGCTGTGGTTATCTCTGTCCCCTCACCTATGTCTACATTGCTATGATTATCTCTGTTCCCTCTCCTATGTCTACATTGCTGTGGTTATCTCTGTTCCCTCTCCTATGTCTACATTGCTATGGTTATCTCTGTCTTCTCACCTATGTCTACATTGCTATGGTTATATCTGTTCCCTCACCTATGTCTACATTGCTATGGTTATCTCTGTTCCCTCACCTATGTCTACATTGCTATGATTTATCTCGTTTCCTCAAAACTTGTTCATTTTCCTGAGACAGCTCATGGGTATATTTTACTGCAGCATTGTTTATAGTATTATATACATCTTGTCATCCCTTTGAGAGATGCAATTTTTCGTTATTTGAAGCCCTACTCTGGCTCTTGCCAGGGGCCACAATATAGCCCAGCCATAAATATGGTCTAATGGCTGAGCGCGGTTTCTGGGACCTCTCCACGGGTGATCCTCATCCAGATGGTGGCACTTTGTGTCATCAGGTGTTTATTGCTTGTGTGATGTCCTGGTGGGGTAAAAGAAGAGAGAGAGATAGATTTATAGTATTTTTTAAATTAAAATTGTTTCCTCAAATATTGTTCATGTGACATCCAGACTAACACGTTGTTGACATGACATCCAGACTGACATGTCATTCATGTGACATCCAGACTGACACGCCATTGACGTAACATCCAGACTGAGATGTCATTCATGTGACATACAGACTGAGACGTCATTCATGTGTCCTCCATACTGACACGTCATTCATGTGACCTCCAGACTGACACGTCATTCATGTGACCTCCAGACTGACACGTCATTCATGTGACCTCCAGACTGACATGTCATTCATGTGACCTTGAGACTTGCACGTCATTCATGTGATATCCAGACTGACATGTCGTTCATGCGATATCCAGAATGACACGTCAATCATGTGACAGAAACTTTGAAAAAGATTTGAGTGAGCACATCAGCCAAAACTAGTAAACCACGAAGGTTTCAAGTAAACAGAATTGACTCTATTGCATTTCTTGCAACTGCCTACAAAACCAACTGTGCTCCCGTGAAGCAAGTGATGCAGTCCATACAGTGAACACACAAGCCTTCAGAACATGAAGCAAGTGATGCAGTCCATACAGTGAACACACAAGCCTTCAGAACATGAAGCAAGTAGCTCCTACCATGAAGACCTCCCCACTTAACCACACAGTATGATATAAAATGGACAAATAGGTCATGTTTCGTGGAAACAACAAAGTAAATAATTCAGATGTTCTGGTACGAATGCAAATGAAAAGTGAGTTACTTTAAAAAAAAAAGGAGACAGTTGAAATATTTTGGCCAAAATAAAAGATGTAACATTCTTTTAAGAACCAAACAAGAGGAAAAAGAAAGCGAGAGGTAGACAGTGATACAAGTGGGAGGACAACATTAGGAGGTGGAAAACAACAGCAGTCTGAGAGAGTGTACTGCTAAGACAAGAGAAAGAGAGTGTTGTGGATCCATTGCATCCAACCCTAATTGTGGAGATGGCCCCTGATTGATTTACTGAATGTACAAGACTAAAAAGTGACTGTATGTATGTTTAGTTGAATGTACAAGACTAAAAAGTGACTGTATGTATGTTTAGTTAAATGTACAAGACTAAACAGTGACTGTATGTATGTTTAGTTGAATGTACAAGACTAACAAGTGACTGTATATATGTTTAGAGTCATCTCTTGTCAGACATTTTATAAGCTGTAGACATCCACAGAGTCAAAGAACGTGCCTTGTACGGGACCTGGGTGCTAGGGCTGTACTCTTGTTCACCGGAAGCCTACGAGAAATACATGAGTGACATCAATGCTAAGGCCAAACATTCCACAAAGGTGAGTCTACAACCTGCACTGGTCCCCTCTCACCTGTTCTGTTTGTTGCTCTTTCAAGTCCCAGTGACCTAGAATAGTCAAAATAACTATGTGTAACCAGCTGAATCATGTCATTTGGTGTTTTGTTTGTTTGTGGTACTATAATTTATTCTGTCACAGTTTGGATCAGGATCGTGTTGTGGATTTTCTGTCCAGGACATTCAGGTGTACAGAGTAATGAGCAGCCTGATATATTGGCTGCTGTGGCTCCTATGGGGGCTGAGCTACTTTATGAAAAAGCAGGTATGGTGAAGGCTCTCTGGGATCAAGTGCATCTGCAACAGAACAGACCAAGTTTCCATACGTGGACAGACCAAGTTTCCATATGTGGACAGACCAAGTTTCCATACGTGGACAACCAAGTTTCCATATGTGGACAGACCAAGTTTCCATACGTGGACAACCAAGTTTCCATACGTGGACAACCAAGTTTCCATACGTGGACAACCAAGTTTCCATACGTGGACAGACTAAGTTTCCATATGTAGACAGACCAAGTTTCCATACGTGGACAGACCAAGTTTCCATACATAGACATATCAATTCTTCATGCGTGGACATATCAATTCTTTATGCGTGGACATATCAATTCTTCATGCGTGGACATATCAATTCTTCATGCGTGGACATATCAATTCTTCATGCGTGGACATATCAATTCTTCATGCGTGGACATATCAATTCTTCATGCGTGGACATATCAATTCTTCATACGTGGACAGACCAAGTTTCCATTTGTGGACATATCAAGTTTCCATACGTGGACACATCCTTTTACATACGTTGACAGACTAAGTCAGCTGGGAGATGAGCAGAGGTTTTGGAAGATATTCAACACTGAGGGGGAAATATAGATGGACTTTTAATCCGGTTACCTTTGGTACTGTTAGCTTGTGATTCTTTGTTGTCTGAGGGAGCAGGGGGAACATGTGTGGGAATGTCCCATGTGCAAGGGCGTCAGTTCTTGATTCATTCTTTGGGTCACAGTTGAGTGTTTTCATCCTTTCTGCCTGTATTTTACCACTTTTTAACAGTGTAGGGAGTGAGGGGGAGATAGGCTTGAGCCTGCTGATGTAGAGACACATGATCTGTGCAGTCGCCACTGACTTCAGGCTAGCAGTTTTATTTCAATCCTGACAGAAAACATGTCCATCACATTCCCAAGGGTTCAGATCTTGGTCATCTGAGTGAGAGCCGGGCATTGTAATCATCAGCCAGCGTGAATGTTTTGTTGTTGAGTCCAGTGTTTATAAATGACCACCAGAGTAAGGTGTTAGACACATTCCACCAGAGTAAGGTAGTAGACACATTTCACCAAAGTAAGGCAGTAGACACATTCCACCAAAGTAAGGCAGTAGACACATTCCACCAAAGTAAGGCAGTAGACACATTCCACCAAAGTAAGGTAGTAGACACATTCCACCAAAGTAAGGCAGTAGACACATTCCACCAAAGTAAGGCAGTAGACACATTCCACCAGAGTAAGGCAGTAGACACATTCCACCAGAGTAAGGCAGTAGACACATTCCACCAGAGTAAGGCAGTAGACACATTCCACCAGAGTAAGGCAGTAGACACATTCCACCAGAGTAAGGTGTGGTAGACACATTCCACCAGAGTAAGGCAGTAGACACATTCCACCAGAGTAAGGCAGTAGACACATTCCACCAGAGTAAGGCAGTAGACACATTCCACCAGAGTAAGGTGGTAGACACATTCCACCAGAGTAAGGTAGTACACACATTCCACCAGAGTAAGGCAGTAGACACATTCCACCAGAGTAAGGCGGTAGACACATTCCACCAGAGTAAGGCAGTAGACACATTCCACTAGAGTAAGGCGGTAGACACATTCCACCAGAGTAAGGCAGTAGACACATTCCACCAGAGTAAGGTGGTAGACACATTCCACCAGAGTTAGGTGGTAGACACATTTCACCAGAGTTAGGTAGTAGACACATTCCACCGGAGTAAGGTGGTAGACACATTCCACCAGAGTAAGGTGGTAGACACATTCCACCAGTGTAAGGTGGTAGACACATTCCACCAGAGTAAGGCAGTAGACACATTCCACCAGTGTAAGGTGGTAGACACATTATGTTTTGCTGTATAGTATTGTGGTTGCCCTTGCCATGGCAATGACCCCTAAGTGACCTGTTTTCAAACCTTGACACCCCAGGAGAAGAAGGAAGAAGAGAAGCCACAAGTTCTGAACTTCAACTACGAAATCCCAGGTCAGAAAACTTTGTGGAAGGTCAACCCTCGACCTCCTCATTCAGATCAGGTAAGGTGTGTGTGCGTACGCATGCACGTTTATGTACAAGCAAATGAGTGTATGTGCACAAATGTTTGAGTATAAAGGCGCGTGTATGTGTGTATGTCATTGTGTTAAGTCAGGAACTGACATCACAGCACTTAGGGCATTCCCATATGTGCTCCATTCTTATCATCAGCAGCCAGCAAAGACTTCCATTTCTGATAGCACCAGTAGCATTTTGACTATATGTCTGTCTTGCCTGCCCTCTGATTGTGGTTTCAGCCAGATCTCCTACCACTTCCCACCTTACCAGTCTCTGCACACCATAATGATCTTTTTGCATTTCTTCATTGTTGACTTGCTCGCAGAGAACCATGACCAGATCCAGCTGGTCATACAGTGTATTTGTATTGTATATTTGTATTTGTATATGTGTATTTGTATATGTGTATATTTGTTTGTATATGTGTATTTGTATATGTGTATTTTGTAATTGTGTATTTGTATATGCGTTTTTGTATATGCATTTTTTTGTATTTGTATATGTGTATTTGTATATGTGTATTTGTATATGTGTGTTTGTATATGTGTATTTGTATATGTGTATTTGTATATGTGTATTTGTGTATGTGTATTTGTATTTGCATATGTGTATTTGTGTTTTTGTGATTTTGTATTTTTTATTTTTGTTTGTTTTTTGTTTTATTTTTTTTTTGTTTATTTGTATTTGTATTTGTATATGTTTATTTTTTTTATTTGTTTATTTTTGTATGTTTTTGTTTTTGTTTATTTTTTTTTGTATATGTGTTTTGTATATTTGTATTTTTATATGTTTTTGTTTATTTTTTTTTTTGTGTTTTGTATTTGTTGTTTTTGTTTTTTTTTTATGTGTATTTTTATATGTTTATTTGTATTTGTTTTTGTATTTTTTTTTGTGTATTTGTTTATGTGTTTTTTTTTATGTTTTTTTGTTTTTTTTGTATTTTTTGTTTTTTTGTTTTTTTTTTTTTTTATTTTGTTTTTTTTTTATTATTTTTTTATTTGTTTATGTGTATTTGTATATGTGTATTTGTTTATGTGTTTTTGTTGTATGTGTTTTTTTTATATTTGTGTTTTTTTTTTATGTGTATTTGTGTATTTGTATTTTTGTTGTGTTTTTGTATATTTTGTTTTTATTTTTGTTTGTTGTTGTTTATTTTGTTTATGTGTATTTGTTTTTGTTTATGTGTATTTGTATATGTGTTTTTGTATATGTTTTTTTGTTTATTTTTTATTTTTATATTTTTTTTTTGTATTTGTGTATTTTATTTTTGTATTTTTTTTTTTTTGTTTTTTGTGTTTTGTTATTTGTTTTATTTTTATTTGTTTTTGTTTATTATTTTTATTTGTATATTTTTTTTTTTTTGTGTTTTTGCATATGTGTTTTTTTGTTTATGTTTTGTATTTGTTTTTGTATATGTTTATTTGTATTTTTTATTTGTGTTTTTGTTTTATATGTATTTTTTTTATTTGTGTTATGTGTTGTATTTGTATATTTTTTATGTGTATTTGTATATGTGTATTTGTATATGTGTGTTTGTATATGTGTTTTTTATGTGTTTTTGTGTATATGTTTATATTTGTTTATGTATATGTGTATTTGTATATGTGTATTTTGTATATGTGTATTTTTTATATTTTGTGTATTTGTATATGTGTATATGTATATGTGTATTTGTATATGTGTATTTGTATATGTGTATTTGTATATGTGTATTTGTATATGTGTATTTGTTATGTTTGTGTATTTGTATATGTGTATGTTTGTATATGTTTTTTTTTATTTGTATATGTGTATTTGTATATGTGTATTTGTATATGTGTATTTGTATATGTGTATTTGTATATGTGTATTTGTATATGTGTATGTGTATTTGTATATGTGTATTTGTATATGTGTATTTGTATATGCATATGTGTATTTGTATATGTGTATTTGTATATGTGTATTTGTATATGTGTATTTGTATATGCATATGTGTATTTGTATATGCATATGTGTATTTGTATATGCATATGTGTATTTGTATATGTGTATTTGTATATGTGTATTTGTATATGTGTATATGCATATGTGTATTTGTATATGTGTATTTGTATATGTGTATTTGTATATGTGTATTTGTATATGTGTATTTGTATATGTGTATTTGTGTATGTGTATTTGTATATGCATATGTGTATTTGTATATGTGTATTTGTATATGTGTATTTGTATATGTGTATTTGTATATGTGTATTTGTATATGTGTATTTGTATATGCATATGTGTATTTGTATATGTGTATTTGTATATGTGTATTTGTATATGTGTATTTGTATATGTGTATTTGTATATGTGTATTTGTATATGCATATGTGTATTTGTATATGTGTATTTGTATATGTGTATTTGTATATGTATATGTGTATTTGTAAATGTATATGTGTGCTTGTTAGGTGTGTGTATGGGGAGGGGAGAGAGGGGGGGGGGGTCCCTCCCAAATGATGTATGTTGAAATGTAATCATTGTAAATGCTAAGTATGTGCAGTAGAGACTCACAACACTCTTCTGTTATATCTCGGCCAGTACTACCACTTCTCCCTCTTCGCCATGTCTCTCAACGAGTTGACTCCAGAGATGGCATCGAAACTTCCTCCGACAGATTCCCGCTTCCGTCCAGACATCCGCAGCATGGAGGAAGGGAAAATAGGTCAGTGACTGTTGTATGCAGGGGCGTCTGTTCGATCTGGTGGCTTGTCATTAGCTGGGTTATATCGGCATTTAATGTGGGTCATTGCCGATTTGGGTGATTTAACATGGCTCATTACATATCTGGACGATTTATTGTGGGTTATTACTGATGTGGATATTTTTAATGTGGGTCATTACAGATCGGGTGATTTGAAATGGGTCTTTAGGGATCTGAATAATTTAATGAGTCATTGTAGATCTGGATATTTTTAATGTGGGTTATTACAGATTTGGGTGATTTAATGTGGGTCATTACAGATCTGGGTGATTTAAAGTGGGTCTTTACATATCTGGATGATTCAGTGTGGGTTAATACAGATCTGGATATTTTTATTGTGGGTCATTACAGATGTGGGTATTTTAACGTGGGTCATTACAAATCTGGGTGATTTAATGCGGGTTATTACAGATCTGGGTGATTTATTGTGGGTTATTACAGATGTGGGTGATTTAATGCGGGTTATTACAGATCTGGGTGATTTAAAATAGGTTACTTCACATCTTGGTGAAAAATTTGTGTAATATGTGCATGATTTTTAACCGGTTTGATTATATATATATATATATATATATATATATATATATATATATATATATATATATATATATATATATATATATATTTATATATATATATATGACAGTCATGTAATCAAACCATAGTTGACTGGCAACAGAAAGCCTGAAAATAATATTCATGTTTTACACAACAGATCATTCAGCAGAGGAGAAGAACCGAGTGGAAGAAAAACAGCGAGAGGCCAGAAATGACAGAAAGAAGTCGAAGAAAGAATGGCAGCCACAGTATGTACTTCATTCTATTCTCTCCCCATTATCATTATCCCGTGTTGTATTGTCTGGATGTCATGTTAGGCTCACAGTCTGCTTCCCCATTATCATTATCCTGTGTTGTATTGTCTGGATGTGATGTTAGGCTCACACTCTGCTTCCCCATTATCATTATCCTGTGTTGTATTGTCTGGATGTGATGTTAGTCTCACACTCTGCTTCCCCATTATCCTGTGTTATATTGTCTGGATGTGATGTTAGGCTCACAGTCTGCTTCCCCATTATCATTATCCTGTGTTGTATTGTCTGGATGTGATGTTAGGCTCACAGTCTGCTTCCCCATTATCATTATCCTGTGTTGTATTGTCTGGATGTGATGTTAGGCTCACACTCTGCTTCCCCATTATCATTTTCCTGTGTTGTATTGTCTGGATGTGATGTTAGGCTCACACTCTGCTTCCCCATTATCATTATCCTGTGTTGTATTGTCTGGATGTGATGTTAGGCTCACAGTCTGCTTCCCCATTATCATTATCCTGTGTTGTATTGTCTGGATGTGATGTTAGGCTCACAGTCTGCTTCCCCATTATCATTATCCTGTGTTGTATTGTCTGGATGTGATGTTAGGCTCACACTCTGCTTCCCTATTATCCCGTGTTGTATTGTCTGGATGTGATGTTAGGCTCACAGTCTGCTTCCCCATTATCATTATCCTGTGTTGTATTGTCTGGATGTCATGTTAGGCTCACACTCTGCTTCCCCATTATCATTATCCTGTGTTATATTGTCTGGATGTGATGTTAGGCTCACACTCTGCTTCCCCATTATCATTTTCCTGTGTTGTATTGTCTGGATGTGATGTTAGGCTCACAGTCTGCTTCCCCATTATCATTATCCTGTGTTGTATTGTCTGGATGTGATGTTAGGCTCACAGTCTGCTTCCCCATTATCATTATCCTGTGTTGTATTGTCTGGATGTGATGTTAGGCTCACAGTCTGCTTCCCCATTATCATTATCCTGTGTTGTATTGTCTGGATGTGATGTTAGGCTCACAGTCTGCTTCCCCATTATCATTATCCTGTGTTGTATTGTCTGGATGTGATGTTAGGCTCACAGTCTGCTTCCCCATTATCATTATCCTGTGTTGTATTGTCTGGATGTGATATTAAGCTCACAGTCTGCTTCCCCATTATCATTATCCTGTGTTGTATTGTCTAGATGTTATGTTGAGCTCACAGTATGCTCCCCCATTATCATTATCCCGTGTTGTATTGTCTGGATGTGATGTTAAGCTCACAGTCTGCTTCTCCATTCCATTCCATCCTGTGCAGTCTTTTCCATGTTATGAATGGAATCCAGTCCAGCACCTTTGGCCTCTCTCACCAACATCCTTCACAGGGTTTCTTTTTAATGTCTTTATTTCCTAAATCCATTTGTTTCCCATTTCATTGCTTGTTTGATGATTCTCCTCTGTTCTGCTCAGAATGTGCCCAGTATATTGCTGTCTATGTACTCTCTTCTTAAGGTTTACATTTATTTTATTGCACTTTTATCTTTGGCAGAGCAGTGAAACTTTCCTGGTTTAACTCGATCTTAGGTGCAGGTTTCTACTTGTCTGTTCCCATTATCACATAGCTTTGCCTGGGCAGTTACCGCAAGGGCCTTCCCTTTGTAGGTGTTTGCTGGAAAAAAATGCATCACATTCGACCAGCATATCCTCAGAGGAGAAGCTTTAGGTTATAATTGTGACTAGGTTATGAGCGCCACATAAAATGGCTTAGCATTGCACACCAGCAAGAGCCTTGAAAAGGATTCCTACAGTGTTGATGCGATCAAAGAAGACAGACCCAAATACTGTCCCAATTGGAGATGAAGTTGTCTACAGGCAAGCCAGTAGGCGACCGGGTCACTGATGTGCTTCTATTTGTGATTTTCAGCTGCTCTTTTGCAACAAGATTAGTGCTCCCTCTTACTACCCAAGATGAGAGATCCTTGTAAAAATACCCAGCCTAGGACTGGGATCTGCTAGGACCAGGACATTCACCAACCCTGTGTTGGGGAAGCAACTTTTCTGCTACTTTATTAGTCATTGGAAAGTGGCTGTACTTTTCATTACTCTATTAGGAGTTTGTGAATAGTTGACTATAGAGTTTGTGAATAGTTGACTTTACATTTATATAACTTTATTAATAGTTTGTTGGTTGTTTTTTTTTTTTCCTGTTTGTGAATTGTTTGTGAAGACTGTATTTGTAAGTCACGTAAATGATCCTTCTTGTACCTGGCATATCGGGCACAGATATGAATAAAGGAGAAGAATGATTGCAGAAAGGTTGAGAGTTGAGCGTTTGAGAAAAAACACACTAAGCACATGTGGAAGCAACAGCTGTCCAGAAATCCCAAGCTCTAACTGTGGAAGACTTCACTGAACCCAGGCAGGTCTTGCTAGTCAAACACCCACCGTCGCCAAGGGCTGTCATCCCAATGTCTCCCCTTAGCAAAATATAACTCTGTCATCTGGAAAGTCCCCATCAAACATCAGACTTATGACCTTAGACTCATTTTTGTTATAGACCACTCAACGGGTGATGTTGCCACCTTTACTTCCCACGACTTTACCTGTACCCATTTTAGGCTGGGTCGACCTGGGAGCCATGGTTATTTTGAAAAAAATATCTGCCTGGATGCAGATCTGAGTCCTAAATCTTCAGCCCAGCAATTGTTTTGTCTAGTTGCTATGGCTCTCACATTTTTAATATGGTTATGGATGTTCTATCCCCACCCTCATATCAGTTCTGTTACTCCTGTGGTGTGACCAAAAGAGATCAAATCAGGAATGAGGCCATGAGAGAAGTATTTGGCACAAAACTAGTTCTCACTTACATACAGTGACAGCAGATCACATATGTTGTCCACTTAGAGAGAATGCTTTGTGATGCCATATGCGGCGGACACCAAAAGAGGAGATATATGTAGAGCATGAGGTAGACCAAGAACAAGATGGAAAGACAAGATCATAGAAACTCTACATGTTTTTCTGTCGTCGAGTTGGCCAGAGGAGCAAGAAGCATATCTTATATCTCCCTGGACATCTGAAGCGGTAAAAGAGGAAGTGAACAAGAAAGAAAAAAGACCCCTATAGAACATGTTTGATGTTTGTAAACCGCCATATTTTTTAATTATTTTTTTTTTAACTGTCCTGTTTGATTTTTTTAAACTACCATGATGTTTCTATCTCCAGATGGTTCCAATACCAGAAGGACCCAGCTACAGGCAAAGAAGACTGGGTTTTTGACTCCAATTATTGGAAACGAAACTGGACACAGTGTGCCGATATATACTGAGCTTTCTAGCAGACTTTAGTGTTAGCTTCTTTCTGTGAGATTCTCCGATGACATAACTCCAGCGGGGGAAAAGTTCCAGGAAAAAACAGTTGCTTGTGGATAGATAGCCGAGCATTGATCTGTCTCTGTGGTTGTTACATCTGATCTGTTCGTCTAGAGGATACTTCGGGAATTCCTTTGCAAGTGGCAGACAGCAGACGTCACGAATAGATGACTTTCTCTTTACGAATCTTGAAATTTGATGCAAATTGACAAGATCAACAATACTGTTTCTTGGCTTATTTGTATTCTAACATTGTCCATTTGTGTACAGTTTCTCTGCTGCTGTTTAATTTATGGAGTTGAGTGAAAGGAGACGTGTGTTTTGTACTTTATTTCTAGGCAGTAAAGATGCATGAATCTGATTGTCTGTTGCATTATGGTATAGGTTTATGCATGTATTGTCATTTGTGATCGTACCTAAGAAATGTAAATTCCTACTTCAAAAATGATTAAATAATGAACAGTGAAACTGGCAAGTAATCCACTCTAGCCATAGGTATGTGGATTTATGGATTATCTGATCCTGGCTAGATTACTTTACTGACAGTGCACAGAGGGTCTGGTGGCACTGGATGTGCAGGGGGAAAGATAAATGAACTTTTAATCAGGTTGCCGTCTGCATAGGAACTCATAATTGGCTGCTGAAAATAAGGACAGAGCATGTAGGGAATATCCAGGGTGCATTGTTGCCAGTTCTAGAATCATTTCATGTGTTTAAGCTCAACATATCACAAGTAGGTAGAATGAATCGTGATGTTTGGACAAATGTTGCCACAGAAAACAGCCTACATTTGGGGATGATATGGTGGCAGATTTCATGGTTAAACATTCTGAGGTGGCAGATTTCATGGTTGAACATTAAATGGTGGCAGATTTCATTGTTAAACATTCTAGGGTGAAATTATGGCAGATTTCATGATACAAAATTCTGTGGTGATATGATGGCAGATTTCCTGATACAAAATTCTGTGATGATATCAGATATTATGTTTAAACATTCTGTGGTGATGTGGTGGCAGATTTCATGGTTAAACATTCTGTGGTGCTTTCATAGTAGATTTTAGGATTCAACATTCTGTGGTGATAAGATGGCAGATTTTATGATTCAACCTTCGGTGGTGACGTCATGGCAGATTTCATGGTTAAACATTCTGGGGTTATATGGTGACATATTTCATGGTTAAACATTCTGTGGTGATATGGTGGCATATTTCATGGTTAAATATTCTGGGGTTATATGGGGGCATATTTCATGGTTAAACATTCTGGGGTTATATGGTGGCATATTTCATGGTTAAACATTCTGGGGTTATATGGTGGCAGATTTCATGGTTAAACATTCTGGGGTTATATGGTGACATATTTCATGGTTTAACATTCTGTGGTGATATGGTGACATATTTCATGGTTAAACATTCTGGGGCTATGTGGTGGCATATTTCATGGTTAAACATTATGTGGTTATATGGTGGCATATTTCATGGTTAAACATTCTGGGGTTATATGGTGGCATATTTCATGGTCAAACATTCTGGGGTTATATGGTGGCAGATTTCATGGTTAAACATTCTGGGGTTATATAGTGGCAGATTTCATGGTTAAACATTATGGGGTTATATGGTGACATATTTCATGGTTAAACATTCTGGGGTTATATGGTGACATATTTCATGGTTAAACATTCTGGGGTGATATGGTGGCATATTTCATGGTTAAACAGACAACATTCTAACTCTGGTAAAATGGTTGTTTTATGGTTAAACATTCAACTTTCTGTTCTGATATGATTGCATACTTCAAGGTTAAACAGCCAATATTCTATCTGTGGTGATATGATTGTTAGCAGGTGAAATGGTTTTACTCATAGCTCAGCTCTTGATGGTGTTCATCTGTTAGTGCTGCCCCTCTTTGCTTAAACCAGTTGCCAGTAGCAACTCATTTCCATTTTGTTTGTCCTAGCATCAGTTGTCTAGAACAGCTCACATCACATGTTATTGTACTTTGTTTTGTATGTCATCTTCTTCTATCCAGTGTCCGTGTCTTTATATGATCCTAAAGATGCTAGAGTTAACATTTCTCTGCTCCTGCTACCCTCTTTTCCACATTTGCTTTCATGTATGTCGTGTAAGTCTTGTTCCCCCACACCTACAGTCATACATGTGTGTGTGTGTGTGTGTGTGTGGCAGGTCTTGTTCCCCCACACCTACAGTCATACATTTGTGTGTGTGTGTGGCAGGTCTTGCTTCCCCACACCTAGTCATACATGTGTGTGTGGCAGGTCTTGTTCCCCCACACCTACAGTCATACATGTGTGTGTGGCAGTTCTTACTTTCCTCCCTTTCCCACACCTGCAGTAATATCTGAGTGTCTGGCACGGCTGTGGTCTGTACAGTTATAATTCCAGGATTATTTTATCTCTGGCTGCTTTCATTCAACTGATTCCTTGAGAAAATAGTTTTTGACAAGTAACATGGCCAAGCCAGAGGTTGTTGTTACCATGCCAGATACATCTCAGAAGCCATTACTTTTTGTTCTCATTTTTTTTCTTCTCCTTTCTCCTGGTAGCTGTTCCCCCATCCTCCTATCTTGTTCTTCCTTATCTGAAAAAATAAAGCTTGTTCATTCATTTGTTCTTGTGACAGCCGTTCCTCCTTACCCTTCCATCTGATTTCTCCTGGTAATTCCGTCCCTCTCCATCTTCCTCCTCCCTATAACCGAAGAACCCCGAGATCAACACAAACATTGTTGATGTGATCTTGTCGATCAGTTCTGTGTTGTGCCATTAGCTAGTCCCCAGACATTGGCAGCTGCAGAATTGACAGCCTGTTTCACTGCTGTTTGATTCATGACATCATTTGTTTTGTTTATTAACTTGTGAGGTTTTGTGTGGCTGTGTTTGTGTGTCAAAGGTTATAACTGGATGTGCACCATTAGAAGTTGCTGACTGCATGTGTAACTGTTCCAGTGATAATGTTTGTAGAGCTTTTGTCATGGCAGAGTCACGATCAGTCTACGGCTGACACAGCTGTAGGTGTGTTGTGTCCGACAGCTGACACAGCTGTAGGTGTGTTGTGTCCGACAGCTGACACAGCTGTAGGTGTGTTGTGTCCGACAGCTGACACAGCTGTAGGTGTGTTGTGTCCTACAGCTGTAGGTGTGTTGTGTCCTACAGCAGACACAGCTGTAGGTTTGTTGAGTCCTACAGCGGACACAGCTGTAGGTTTGTTGAGTCCTACAGCGGACACAGCTGTAGGTTTGTTGAGTCCTACAGCGGACACAGCTGTAGGTTTGTTGAGTCCTACAGCGGACACAGCTGTAGGTTTGTTGAGTCCTACAGCGGACACAGCTGTAGGTTTGTTGAGTCCTACAGCGGACACAGCTGTAGGTTTGTTGAGTCCTACAGCGGACACAGCTGTAGGTTTGTTGAGTCCTACAGCGGACACAGCTGTAGGTTTTGTTGAGTCCTACAGCAGACACAGCTGTAGTTTGTGTGAGTCCTACAGCGGACACAGCTGTAGGTTTGTTGAGTCCTACAGCGGACACAGCTGTAGGTGTGTTGTGTCCTACAGCGGACACAGCTGTAGGTGTGTTGAGTCCTACAGCGGACACAGCTGTAGGTTTGTTGAGTCCTACAGCGGACACAGCTGTAGGTTTGTTGAGTCCTACAGCGGACACAGCTGTAGGTTTGTTGAGTCCTACAGCGGACACAGCTGTAGGTTTGTTGAGTCCTACAGCGGACACAGCTGTAGGTTTGTTGAGTCCTACAGCGGACACAGCTGTAGGTTTGTTGAGTCCTACAGTGGACACAGCTGTAGGTTTGTTGAGTCCTACAGCGGACACAGCTGTAGGTTTGTTGAGTCCTACAGCGGACACAGCTGTAGGTATGTTGAGTCCTACAGCGGACACAGCTGTAGGTATGTTGAGTCCTACAGCGGACACAGCTGTAGGTTTGTTGAGTCCTACAGTGGACACAGCTGTAGGTTTGTTGAGTCCTACAGTGGACACAGCTGTAGGTTTGTTGAGTCCTACAGTGGACACAGCTGTAGGTTTGTTGAGTCCTACAGTGGACACAGCTGTAGGTTTGTTGAGTCCTACAGCGGACACAGCTGTAGGTGTGTTGAGTCCTACAGCGGACACAGCTGTAGGTTTGTTGAGTCCTACAGTGGACACAGCTGTAGGTTTGTTGAGTCCTACAGTGGACACAGCTGTAGGTGTGTTGAGTCCTACAGCGGACACAGCTGTAGGTGTGTTGAGTCCTACAGCGGACACAGCTGTAGGTGTGTTGAGTCCTACAGCGGACACAGCTGTAGGTTTGTTGAGTCCTACAGCGGACACAGCTGTAGGTTTGTTGAGTCCTACAGCGGACACAGCTGTAGGTTTGTTGAGTCCTACAGCGGACACAGCTGTAGGTTTGTTGAGTCCTACAGCGGACACAGCTGTAGGTTTGTTGAGTCCTACAGCGGACACAGCTGTAGGTTTGTTGAGTGTGTCACTTTACTGGATCATAGCATCATCATGTTGTGAGGTGGCCCACTCTGGTTTTGGGGGGCATTTTCTGTCCTCAAGTCAGATTACTGCCATTGGAGTCGCAGCCTTGCACATGCGAGCTAGCGTTTTTGTTGTTGGGTCTTGCTCGTGTTTGTTGTTGGATCGGGCTTGTGTTTGCTGTAATGAAAATATTGTATTCTAAGCTCGCTTGGAACATTCCGATTAATGGATGTTTGTCTGCAAGTGTTTATACTTTAAGTGTCTATGAAACGCTGTTGTACATGGGGATGTTGCTGATGTGGTTTCTGCTGTTCATCTGTGAGAGAGTGCTGTGAGATTACTACAACAGAAGGTCTTGTGTTTCTGTCTGTATGTAAGCATTATCAGCTTTTAGGGACACCAGATCTTATAGTATGTGGAAAGCTTCTTATTCAGAACCATATCCTATGGTACATTGAAAGCTTCACTTT